TGTGTGTGTGTGTTGCTACGCTGGGTTCACGTAACTTGCATGTTCGCCGTGAACGCGAGAGTACACTGCAACTCAAACAATTTTCGGCCCTAGACACCAAAAAGGCCCTGCCGTTTGTGCTCCCTTTGCCCAAGCCTTGCCATTCTTGGCCCCCTTTCTTGAACAGCCTTGCTAAAGACCTTCCAACTAGTGCCCTCACTCAAAACTTCAGTGTACGAGTCTTTCTACCCAAAACTACACTCACTACCCCATCACTGTCCAGGCGCAGGAGTCCGCAGCTGCAGGGCCACAGGAAGCACAGGAGGTCCAAAGCGTGTGGAGACAACTCTTGGAGGCCGCAGCTTCGCGGCCCTTCAGTACAGACTAGGCTTGAGGGATTTCTTCCGCGTTCTGAGGGGACAGCATGTTGAGGCTATGGATTCCTACCGCTTCGTCCTGGACAGTACCCGAACTTTTTTCTAAGGTCAAACTGCGGTTTTCGCTACGACTGAATGATACCACACTACATCATAGTCTATCATGTTTTTGGCTGAGACCGAAGAATACTACACTATATCCTATTCTATCACATCAGATAATATCATAGTCTATGACACGCTACTCTTCCTTAGTGTAGTGTCAGAAAAAGCTAAGCTGAGCGAGAGCCTAGGAGGCCGAGTGCGAGTTTCCCTCCATCCTCAAGGCCTCGGAGTGTTTCTGATTTTGCCTATGTTTTGTCGAGGGTCCTCATTTCATGTATGGGCCTGAATAAATAGCAATACTAGTTTGGGGGTCCTTCTTGTATATATAACTATAGCATACTATACCAATACCCNNATACCCCAACACCCTGTTCTAATCATTAGTGCCCCTACATTGTGTTTTGTTAGGGTCCTCATATAACCAGGCAGGCTTTTGCGACATCTTATCTTTTCCCTTCTAGGCCTATCTGTGTTTTGTTTTTCGATTAGTTTTCATCGGATAGATAAGTAAGCACCAGAGAAAGATTTGCAGCGGCCTCAGAAAAAGGCAGGTTTGGTAAGATTTTTGATTTTCTATTGAAGCTCGAAGGTTACTATTGTGCTTGCCGATGAAGGTTGTTATGGAAGTTAACAAAGGATTCCTACTACGTTTGTTGCCGCGGTTACTATTGTAAAAACTGATCATAGGTTGAGATCACGGAGCTGGTTTGAGGAGACCTTTTGGAGATGTTTTTCTTTCGCCGTTCGCAGCTGGTCTACCCCGAAACCCTAAGCCCCGCCGGCACTACCGAGATTGCAGTCCACCCTAGGCATGTTGTTGTGAATCGCACATAGGCGCAGGATCTTTTAAAAGATCTACACCAGAAGGATCGGATCAAAGCCAGAAGCCCTGAGAAGCAAAACGCGCTTTTTTTCTAGCAATCAGTCAATAGTAAAGATAGTAACACAAACAAGAACCATAATGTTAAACTACAGAAGATTGAAAAGTGCGACAGAACAAAATTGTTTTGCGTTCCAATACACTGTGGTAGGTAAAGTACCCGCCCGCAGGGACGGAGCTGGAGATTTCTAGGAGCAGTGGCTGGCGAAGGCCACGACTTCTTGCGGAGGCCTCTTCGGAGGGAGGGTTTCAGGGCTTCAGGGTTTTAGGGTTTTTTAGGGTTTCGGGTTTAGGTTTTTTTAGGACTTTAGCACACATGTGGGGGCTTTATGAATTTTGGCTGGTTGGAGGTTCGGATAGATTTCAGAAGCTCTTCATACGCCTTGGCTCCCAAGCCCCAAGCAGGACCAAGGTCCTTTTGTAGATGGGTCGGTAAGAAGTGGGGTTCACGTTAGGATACGCCTGTTTGGAAGCTCAAATTTGAAGACCCTGTGCCTGACTTCACCCCTATGCAACTTTGCAGAGCTTCGAAACTCGACACCCACAAGAGTAAATCCTTCTGTTTAAGCCCATCGGGTGCATGATACACAACTGCCAGTCTGGAGGCGAGCGTGGTTCAAAAAGGTGCCGAGGCCTCCAAAGAAGACGATGCGAGTGCAGAAAGCCTCGAAGACGGCCGGAAGCAGCTTTGATGGGTTTAGGTGTTGTCACTTCACAAGTGTAGTCCTCGACACAACCATACACTGCTTCTCAGGCTTGCAAGGTTCTAGTCGTGAGGACAGCACTGGGCATTGACAAGAGGTGGAGGTGTAAAAATAAAGCATTTTTCTTTGTCTGCAGAAGCCTTGAACAACCCGAGGACTGCTGAGAAGCGTAGAATCCTCTCCAGACCCTGTCACACCTTCGTTCCTCACAGGTGTGCTCTACAGAAAGGCTTTTCACTCCTGACACCTAAGCATTCCTCCAGCGGACTGATATGTCGAAAATCAGTGGGGTGGTTACCCAACGCTAGCAGTTGTGAAAAGCCAAAGCAAAGAAGATCAGGAAAGGTTGGCCTGCAATCGCTGATGGATGCCTCAAAGAAGGCACCTAATGCGGAGATAGTCATTGCAAGTGTGATTGAGTGTTGTAAGGTTCGGGTTCAGGATTTTCACGTGCTTTCTATGTTTAGAGCTCATGATTTGTATGTGTTGTTGGCAAAGACATCCTCTCGGAATTTGGTGCTGGCGCCGCGTCGGCGGATGGCTTTAGATTACCGGTTCAGACAGGGTAGCAAGCGCTAGCGGCTACCATTGCTATGGTAGGTGGACAACCGTGGAGTTTCGAACTGCACGAAGGCATCACTACTATTCAAGCAGGGCTTCTGCATTGGTGTGTCCACGTGCTTGGTGCGTTTTGGTGCAACATGCCCGAGTGTCGCTCAGCCGCATGCCTCAGGACAGTCTGGGCGAGAAAGCCTGCCAACACATGCAGAAGCACATTCGAAAGGTCGGATCAGGGTTGGACACGTCTGAGTCTGCGTAAGTTGCTACTAATCACTTTGCTTCCCTTTTCAACTGAAAACTTCGGGAAGCTAACGGGAGTTTAGCTAACCATTGATTTGTTGGTCGTCTTTTGGAGGCGCGGTGTCCTATTTGTCGGCATATCTCGGACCCTGATCCCTGAAATGCAACCCCGAAATGCTAAGTCGGACCGAGCGCAGGTTGGGCCGCGAAGCTTCAACCTGGTGATGTGCAGCTCGGGTGCACTCTGGAGGCGAACCCTGCACCCTGAACCCCGAGCAGTCCCCATCCCTTCCCCTAAAAACTTATCTAAGTGGATTAAAAGCTCCGAAGCTACACGGGCGTGTGTGTTCGGCCCTAGAACTCTGGGAAGTTTCCGAATCTTACATATCAGGCATGTCCTGACAGCAATCCAGGAGCTACAGATGTAGAGATTTATGGAGAGGCTGCTCGAACATGTAGTGACACAGTTGGTTTGCAAATAGATGTTTCTAAAAACTGTCGGTGTGAGATTTCGGCGTTCTTCTAGCATCCTGCATAGGGTGGTTTTCCGCACGCCTTCGTTAGGGCCATATTTTGGGCTGTGCGTGTTGCGCATTTGTATGATGTTACCGCATTTACGATCCTCAGGCTTTCATTGCACCCCAAACCTTCACACACTGAGGCCTTCAAATCCTTCATCAGAATTCCAATGCCGCAAGCTTAGGCTTCGACTGGCTCGAAGTTGCCAGCTCCTCTACACATCTGGTTGAGGCCATCGATTGGCACATCATCCTCATGAAGTTCCAGCGTTTGGCAAAAGAGATCTTCAGTCAAGGGCATGCAGATGACTACCCTTTGGTCTCCGAGACACTCCAGTCCGTCCTCGATGAGCATACGCAACAGGGAGGACGAGCTCCCACCCTGACCTTTGCTTTGCGCATGTACTTCAGAAATGGCGAGAAGCACAAGCTCTTCCGCTTCTTTCGGACTACAGATCTTCGATGGGTGCTCCACTGCCGCACGCGACACCTGGTGCTAAGGTTTGCAACCATTTTTCCGCTGTGTGTTCTTAAGGCGGAAAATCTGATTTGTTGTATTTTGTCAGATGTGCTGCAGGAATCAGAGCGATGATGCCAACATGCGATCACGATGTGTTTCTGCGGGCAGTTCGTGGCATGTGCCAGAAGTCTATTGAAATGTCTGGAGAGGCTCACAAGAGGCACTACGACAAAATCCGTGCCGACAATGCCGCCATGAAGGCTGCAAGGAAACTGCAGACAGAGAACAACGCCAAGTTGCACGCCCGAGCCCAGGCTGCGGTGCAATTTGTTGCACAAGCTAGGAAAAAGTTCAAGGCTGGAAAAGACATGCAAGATCTCGATGCGATTTTTTGCGACTTCGGGATGGGCGAGCAGCTTTGTTTCTTGGCGCAGGTGTTCATCAGCATCCTCTCGTCATCCAGCAAAAGATTGGGTTTCATACTTGCACCGGCATGTTTCTGTTGCTCAGGCTTCTTCGCGATCGTGCAGGCCCAAGACAGCGGGCACAGCGCTGGCCCACTGCGAGAGACGTGGCAGATGCTTGTCGCTGAGACCCTCTCGAGTCCGGAATTCTTTGCCAGGTGTTGAACCAGAAACTTCTCCCGAACCTCACCAAACACGATAGGGTTCCTTTTGGCCTCAGGAAAGCAGCAAAAGATTTGCAAGCGTTGAAGAAGATTCAGAAGTCCAAAGGAGAAGCACATGAGAACGTCGGGTTCATCATCGCAAAGTTGCAGCATGTGAACTAGCTTGCGGCATCTTCCTTTCAGCCCGGGCTCCCGTCTAAAGGGGTGCATATTCTTCAGCAGCATTTAAAAGTTCAACAGGTAGAGGGTAGGATCAGCAATGAGCGCCAAACCCCGAGTGCGCAAACGAAGAGGCTACTGTAGCCAGAGGTAGCTTATCATAGTCTGGCACTACTTTAACTCACTGCCAATTTCCGGCCCGCACTTGAAAGCACCACTTTGTTGTTGGCTTTAGGTCTGTTCAGACAAGCTTCTTTGAATCTTTCAGCTGTCGAGGTCACCAATAGGTGCTCGAATGGCTAGTTACTGTTGGGAGTCAGGTGTTTTTGGTTTGCGCTCTCACCTTCCATAGGCTGCGTAGGGATGCATTCACCATGTGAATAGCCCTTTGTGAATATGCGACTGGGTGATCAGAGCTTCTGCGTGTTTGGCTGAGGGTTGCAGGTGACAGTCTTTTGGTGTTCGTGTCTTGCACCAAGCTTCTTATTTTTCAAATCCTTCCGGTGATCTAGGTTTAACCACAAATCGGCTGGGACAAGTCTGTGTTCTTTCGCTGTTTGGGGTCTGTGTGTTGGCAAAATGTTTTGTCCAAAAGATGGGTCGCAGGATTTGCAGCGGCAGTGGCAGAAGCACAGCGTCTTGATGAGGATGAGATGTTTAGACGTTTCTCAAACCCAGCGGTTTCCAGAAACAGCTTCAGTGTATCTGCTATCATCAGCACCTCCAAATCTCTATCTTCCAAGATATTTATCTTCTGATATTGTCGATTTGAATTTATGCATGACAGATACGAAATCAAATTTTCAAAAAGCGTATATAAAATCATCAAATCTAAATTCTATTTGTATCTGGTCATAGATATTTTTTTTACATTCAGAATCTATCGATAAAATATTTTTGAAGTAAGAATAAGAGAATCGACCAATTTTTCTATATCGAAAATATTTATTTGGACTTTAGATTAATTTATCTATTTTGAGATATTCATATATATAAAAAATTGAATTTCGTAAATTATCGGCTTGAGGTCTTCTATTTTCTGTTGTTCTTATTCTTAAAATATTTGAAAGTATATTATTATGTTTTCAAAAAATTAGTTTTTCGTAGAATTTTACAACCTTATTAATTATAAATACGAAATTATGAGAAATCTTAATTTCTCATAAAATTGAAAGATTATTGAAAAAAATTATATCATATCTATTTATTTTTGATTTATA